AATTTTATTGAAACTGCATTTATTTAATGTGTGGTGTGCTTTATTTTATAAAGTACATACTATGTTATATAAGTCATTACAAGGGGATGGGGATATAGCTTAGTGGTAGAGCTCTTGCCTAATATGTAAGGCCCTAGGTTAAATCCCCAGCATTACAAAAACAAAACAAAGAAATTACAGATTGTTTCTTTATTTTGGCTGACCAAGAAAGAACCTTTTCTTCCATTCACATTAGGCATTTGTTTATTGTTCTTTGTAACAGACACCCAGTAAGTGAATACTTAAAAACATTCTCAGAGAGACATTATAGATCTCTTGAGAAATTTCATGTAGTGTAGGTTCCTCAACATCAATTGTTCAAAGCCTGTTGTTAATCTAAAACTAGAATAAGTCTAGAAAACTTTGCCTAAAACATTACTCTTTTCTAGGTCTTTGGTTTATACTGTGAATGTTTCCTTACTATAGTTTTTCTTACTGAGGAAGCTTAAATGCTGATCTTATTTCTAGTTTGCCATGTATTGTCTCCTGCTGTTTTATAAAGTACTAAAGGAAGAACTGAGTCCTATCCAACCTGTTGGCAAATTTCTTTGTGTAAAGCTGGTGGTTTTTGTTTCTTTTTGGTAAGTGTTGCTTTCTCTTAAATGTTCTCATTTTTTAAAGGGCAATAAAACTGTCAATTAGGGAGGATTTTTAAAATAGTATTCATGCAAATAAATTAAAAAATGTCTTTATTCACCTTACAGAAGTTCATCCCTTAGCCCTTCTAGGAATTTCATAAAGAAATAATCAGATGGTGATTGTAACATGTATAAGAAGAAAATAATTTGTTTTGGCCTAAATATCTCAAATACTAAAGAAATCATTCAAAAAACTTGACATAGAATACTTAGTGATGGGAGGAAATGCTCATCAGTAAGTATTCTTTAAAGTACTAGGCAAAACTATACATGATTTGTTTAGTAAAATGGTGGGAAACAGGGTCCTAGAAACAAATACACAAAATAGAAACAATACAAAAAGGAAAAAAATCCATAAAATTCCACTGCCAAAAATAATAAGCCTTTTGATGATACGTAGTATATAAAACTCCACAGAAATAGTTTGATACTGTAAAACCTTGTGGAACTCAACAGTATGGTCATTGTTTTTTTCTTTTGTCAGTAAAGAAAAATATAATTATCGTTGTTGCTTGGGTTATTTATCTTTGCTTAGTATTCTATCATGTAGGTAAAACTTGTTAGCCTTTTATTTAGATTGTCCCTAACTTTTCTCACCATTATAAGCAGTACTGAATAACCTTGTATGTAAATCATTTTGCTGCTGAAATTACCTGGGGCATTATCTCTAGATGTCCTTGAAATGCTCAGCACGACTCCCTAATTTAAAGTCAGACCCTTTCTGAGTTTGTTTCTGGCTCTAATCCTTCATACAAGACTAGCTTCAAAATTATTGCTTTAGCCAGGCATGCTATATTACACACCTGTAATCCCAGCAACTTGGGAGGCTGGCAGGAGGATCACAGATTTGAAGTGGGGCTTAACAATTTAGCTATAGACTCTAAGCAATGTAGTAAGACCCTGTGTCAAAATAAAATATAAAAAGGCCTGGAGATGTAGCTCAGTGGTAAAGCTCTCCTGGGTTCAATCCCCAGTACCAAGAAAGAAAAAACAATTACTGTTTTTATGAATAACTTAAATAATTCATACATGTGCAAACATTTGAGTGTCTGCTTGTCCTTTATTTCATCTTAAGTGCCTATTTTACAAGGTGTTAGGCACTGTCTATGTATAGAAAGGACTTAAAATCTAATTATTCATATGTACTTTCAAAACAAAAAAAAATATGTAAACCAAGTACTAAAGTTCTGAGAATACGTAACCCAAATTCATCAGATGAAACTAATTGAAGAGTAAATCTGTAAAGGAAACAAGTATATATTTAAAATAGTTTATTGAGGAATATATTATACGTGCAGGTAAGGGGTGGTGGCCCACAGGTTGCACTGGGATTTTAACTTTTAAATGGCATATTTTTAAAACAACCGCTCGTTTTATGCTTGATATAGATTTGGCGTTTACCTTTTCCTAACATATAGGCAAGCAGTAGTTATTGCTTTGTTGGTAAAAGTTGGCGTTATTTCTGAAAAGCATACATGGGAATGGCAAACTGTAGAAGCCGTGGCCACAGGACTCCAGGTAAGTAGTGCTTCACCTCTGAACCCAATAGAACTTCACTATTTATTTGTTAAGCATTTTTATATATAATCTCACATAACACTACCACACACAGGCTATGGGGCCATGACTATTATCTTCACTCGACAAGTGAGGAAACAGGAAAACCCTGGAGAAAACAGCTGTAATTACCGATTTGTAACAGAACCAGGAATAAAACCTGGTTTTTGATCCTTCTAGTCCATTTCTTTCTGCAGTCTCCCTCTTAGTCCTTGGGTGGTGGATTGAGAATACAATGTACTTTGCCGAGAAATATTTGTCTGAGGTAGTATTTTTTGAAAAATGGACAAATGTATATAATTTGGGGGAAAAAATTTTTGATACTTAACATACTTTTCAAAAGTACTTGGAGCAAAATAGCAGTTTATAAAACTAGATTAAGTAAAAAGATGGCTAATTTTGTTGCTGCTGTTGTTATAGGACTTTATTATCTGTATTGAGATGTTCCTTGCTGCTATTGCTCATCACTACACATTCTCATATAAACCATATGTCCAAGAAGCAGAAGAGGGCTCATGCTTTGATTCCTTTCTGGCCATGTGGGATGTTTCAGATATCAGAGATGACATTTCTGAACAAGTGAGACATGTTGGTAAGTACCAGCCATATAATTCTCCTGAAGAAGTAGATTATTGTATTTTTCCTACTTAGGCCATTTACTAGTTATTTAAGAAATGGAAGAAAGAAAACCATTTAAAGCAGTAACAAGGTACAGGCCCTTCAAATTGGGGGGAGAGGAAAAAAAGGGGGTAGTGGGGAACTTTTTTTTTATGATGGTAAGTTTATAATGGTTAAAATACTTTTTGGCTAATGTGAAATCTTTTGTATTACTTTATAAAGGACGGACAGTCAGGGGACATCCTAGGAAAAAATTTTTTCCTGAGGATCAAGATCAAAATGAACACACAAGCTTGTTATCATCATCATCACAAGATGCAATTTCTGTTGCCTCTTCTATGCCACCTTCACCCATGGGTCACTACCAAGGGTTTGGACACACTGTGACTCCACAGACTACACCTACTACAGCTAAGATAAATGAGGAAATACTTAAAGATGCTACAGAAGAGAAAAAAGAGGCTTTAGATAAATCCGTGCACTCCTGAACAGTGTGCAAAAGCAAACTGCTACAACCATGTTATTCTATTACCTGGTATCCCTTGGCTCAGGATTTTGTGCTTGGGACAAGCCATAAATGATGGAAAATTTCAACATAAACACAGGGGAAAACCAGGTACAACTACTGGATTTATACATGTTGAGTTTTGTATATCACAAAATAATCAGTCTAAATTTCCTAGACTTAGACTTGATTTCTGAACATTAGAACATCACATACTCAAATGGTAGAAAATGACTACAGCTAAAATGCTCCTGATGTTACACTGCATTATCAAGAGGATGGACCTAAATGAGGAAAATTTAAAAATCAGTGCTTCCTACTACTGCTGCATGAATATAATGCTCTGGACAGAAAGCATAAATTCAGAAATATGAATTAGTGGAACTTAATCATAATCATGTGCCATATAAGCTTATCTAACAATTATTTCTCTACTTCCCAACTGAATGTCTTTCAATAAAGAGGAGTTTATCATTTATTTTCTGCAACTTTTTATGTCTCTCATTCTTTAAACCTAATGCTTTAAAAAAAATGTTTTGATTAGAGGCACAGAGCAAAAAGATGAAACAAATTTTTCCTCAGTGCTATTAAAAGTGGCAACAAATGTAAATTTGGCTGAGTGGTCTTGATTATTCATTAAACCATAGTTAAAAGACTTGTAGGTGTCATTTGGGAGAAAATTTTTACATAGGCAGTTTCTCTAATTGCTAGTCAAAACTAAAATTGAATCATGTTTAACACTATAAGAGAAAAGAGAGATGGTAGTATGTTGCAAATATCAAAGATGAGTTGTTTCTCAAAACCTTTGATTTATATACTTATACACATACATTCATATATATGTATGTTTCACAATAGTAATTCAGATACAAAGACCTCATTTTGTTCAATATTATGAATTAAACATTTCTATTGAAAGAAAGTTATATATTAAAAACCTCAAAGATTCCACAAAATAGTATTTGAACTAATAAATGAAGTAAGACACAAAAATCAGTAACATTTTTATACACAAATAATGACCTAACTGAAAAATCAAGAAAAATAATCCCATTTATGACAGCATCAAAAATAAAATACTTAGGGGCTGGGGATGTGGCTCGAGTGGTAGCGCATTGCCTGGCATGTGCAAGGCACTGGGTTCAATCCTCAGCACCACATAAAAAATAAATAAATTTAAAAAGAATGTTTAAAAAAAAAAAAACATTGAAAATAAATAAATAAATAAAATACTTAGAGGTAAATTAACGAGGGATCTAGAAAAATGTCTTACACTGATGAAACAAACTGAAGATGCAAACCAATGGAAAGATACCCTGTATAATGCCATTCCTATCAAAATCCCAATAGCCTTCTTTAAAGAAAAAAAAAAGACCCCAAAGAGCCAAAACAATTCCAAGTAAGAAAAAGTTGGAGGCATTACATTTCCTGACTTAAAATTGCTACAAGCCAAGTGCAGAGAGAGGCTCATGACTATAGTCTCAGCTGAACTCAGGATGCTAAGGCAGGAGGATCACCTGAGCCCAGGAGTTCAAGACCAGCCTAGGCAGCAACATGAAAACCAATCTGAAAATTTATATATATATATACATTACAAAGCTATAACATATATATATATATATATATATATATATATATATATATAATTTGTTACAATAAATATGTGTTTATTATAAAGCTATAATAAAACAGTATGGGACTGGCATAAAAATGGACTCACAAATGAGTGAAACAGAATACAGAGACCATAAATAATTTCTGACAAGGGCATCAAGTTGACACAATGGAAAAAGGACAGTCAATAAATTATGCTGAGAAAACTGAATTTCCACATACAAAAGGATGAAATAGGAACCTTTCCTATACCAGACACAAAAATCAAAATGTATAGGAAATCTAAATGTAAAATTAGTATAAAACTCCTGAAAGAACAAAGACGATAGCTCAATGACTTTGAATATCATACGGAATGATTAGGTGCCAAAAGCAAAAATAAGTAAATAGAACAACAGACCCTTCAATTCATATATTCCACATCTACAGATCTATATTGAACATGTATTTGCCATTATTCCCTGAACAAAATGGTGTAACAACTAACTAGTATTTTCAGTATATACACTATTTATGTGTAAGGACTAAATAATACTTCACTGTATTAGGATTATAACTAGAGATGATTTAAAATTTAAGGAAGGATATATGCAGGTAATATACAAATACTATACCATTTGACATAAGGGGACTTGAGTATTCGCATATTCCTATTTGCGGGGGTGGTCCTGGAACCTTCCCCTACTGAGGGACAACAACTGTACATTAAGCTAAAAAAATGCATAGCAAAGGAAATAAAATATGGCAACCTACAGACTGGGAAAAAATATTTGCAAAGAATACATCCAATAGGGGTTAACATCTAAAATGTCAACTCAATGGTAGAAAAACCTTATCAAAAATGGGCAAAAGGTCTGAATAGACATGTCTACAAAGACGACATGAAAATAGGCAGCATGTATGTGAGAAGGTTCTCCATATAATTAAGGAAATGCAATTTAAAACTACTGAGATACCAACACTCACCTGTTACTTATTAGGATGGCTGTTCTCAAAAGGTCAAAAGATACCATGCTGACAAGGTTATGGAGAACAGGGAGTTGTACACTGTTGGTGGGAATCAATATAGCCGTATAGCCATTACGGAAAACAGTATGGAAGTTGCTAAAGAAATTTAAAATAAAACCACTATGTGACCCAGCAATCCCTCTTCTAGGCATACACCTAAAGAAAATAAAATCACCATCATAATGATACCTGCAATTCCATGTTCATCAATCACAGCAGTATTCACAATAGCCAAGTGATGGAAACAACCTAACTGCCTGTGAACCATGAATAGATAAAGAAACTAGAAGAATTATATATGAGTTCTATTCAGCCCTTGAGAAGAATAACATCTTGCCATTTGAAAATTCAAATATACAGGGACTGGGGTTGTGGCTCAGTGGTAGAGCACTTGCCTCCCATGTGTGAGGCTCTGGGTTCAATTCTCAGCACCACATATAAATAAATAAAGGTCCACTGACAACTGAAAAAAAAATTAAAGAGAAAAAAAAGAAAATTCAAATATACAGAGATACAGAATCAAACAATGGAAGGCACAGAACAGATATATAGAATGAATAAGTCTAGTGATCTAATGTACAACATGAGGACAGCAGGTAATAAATCCCGAAGTATGAGGTCTTAGCTGCTCTTGCTACAAAAATAAAACAAAAACTAGGTAACTGAAAACAATGTATGTTAATTTACTTCACTGTAACTCTTTATTATCTGTGTCCTAAAATCTGTTGTGTATCTTAAATACAAAAAATAAAATTTAACTTAAAAAAAAAGAAGATGGGTGGTATAACAATGATAGTTTTTTTTTCTTAACAAAGAATCATCTTTGTGCCTTTCTTATAAAGAACATAGCATGTAAAAGGCATGATAATAATCTCCCAATTTCAAAGGTCTAAGAATGGGAAGAATTATATTTCTTTTGAGCATCCAAATCAAAGTGCCTTTGGGTTCAACCCCAGTACCACCCACACAAAAAGAAATCCATACAGAGTCAAGTAAAACTAAAGTACCTAAAAATTTAAAAACTAATGATTTGTTCTTTTCCTGAAAGCAAGTCTGCAATAATATTTCTAAAATAATGCTATTTTTATGATCTTTTAAATGTACTTTATTAATGTTATTTTTTAAATTACAAGGAATTAAATTTTATGTACCCATTTTATGATTACAATCCCACTAATTCAGACAAGAACTTTGCAGTTGACGCTCTAACAGTTTTCATTAGAAAACCGCTCCTCATTGTTTCACTGTGATGCTGACATTGCTTTTGTGGTGCTCAACACTAAGAACAAGTTCCTCTCCCATTTCAACCTGGATGGGAGTATCTAACACAACTGCAGCCTGTTTCCAGTGGGAGGCTTCACTTGAAGTATCCAACCGAATCTCTTCATCAAGGTACATATGGTACCAAAACGGAATAGCAGTCACTTGTCCAGATTTACAAATGTGTACCTTTGGGAATTATTAAGAAAACTTCATTAGGATAAATGAAGTAGACTTTAATTAGTAAATCCTCTTTCTCTTTAAAATACATTTCTAAAATATATTTAACCACCCAATTCAAATTAATATTAACCTGTTTTATTCACTAATACTCAAATCCATTTCTGTATATTGTTTAGAAAAGAAGCAAGATTTAAATCTTCAAAGTGGCTAAAGATATGTATATACAGTATTATCTAAGCTAATTATTTGGACCATAACAAGAGTTATCATTTTGTGTGTTGTCCTTACCTTCACTTCTCTGTTGGAGGTGTTCAAATATGGAGTCATTAAATCTAGTCTTAAGAGTTCCACTGGCTTGCTTAAAGGTATACAGGGCAATGAAGACAGGTCCAAAAATACACGGATAGGCACCTATAGAAAATGTAAAGTTTTCACTTTTACTCATTCTTTTTATGGTCTGGGCTCACCAAGTGTTTGATCTGTACTGGCTCAGTGTGACAGATGATGCTTTTTACATCTATTACCTCATTTCTTTTAGCATCCTAAGTCACAAGGACTTTCACTATTCCAGTTTTTCAGGAAAAATGAACCAAAGTTTAATCAGGTTAAATACCTGGCTAAGGCTTCAGTTACCTGTACATTTCTCACTTTCATGAACGCAAATTCAACATACTTGAGTCAAACAGATCCAAAAAATTGTAAACCTCAAGTTTGTTTACGAACTAAAGAAGCAAAATAGTACAACACTGAGTAGTAAGTTGTTTGACAAAAAAAAAAAAAAAAGTTGTTTGACAAAAATATGCCAAATTCAACCAAATAGATTTCATTTGGAAAAGTATGTTTACTCCTAAAAGGCAGTGGTTCTCAACTTTGGCAGCAAATTGAAGTCACCTGGGGACCTTTTACATAGGTTTGATTGCTCAGGCCACAATCCACACCAACACCAATCAAAAGTAGGGACCCAGGTTTCAGTTCTGAAAGTACTCTGATGTTCCAAATGTACAAAGTGAAAATCACTGCTATTATTTTAATCAATGTGAGTTGCAATGGAATCCTCCTATTAATAATTTTTAATCTCTTCCTCATTTGAAACATAAAGGAAACTCCTGCTTTCCTTTCTATAAAAGTCCTTCATGGTGAAACAGACCACAGATACATCAACCTCTCCCTGGGCATCCTTGAAACCATCCAACCTTTCTTCTCCATAAAAATTCACAGTGACCTCCCATCTCATTTACAGGATTCTTCATTATGCTTTTCATTCATGTTTCCATCCATCAATGAAAAAGCCCTAGATTTCCACATCACCTCGCATTGCCTAGACACTAACCCCTCATGGCTATACCCATACCACACAGTATGATCCACTTTTGTTTCTCAATTTAACCTACTGGCCGCTCCTGCCTGTCATCTTTGTCAATTCCTTCTAGAAATATCCAACCGAATACCAATCAAGAGCTAGAAACACAATCAAGAGCTCAGTTCTCAATCCTCTTTTTCTACCCCCACCCAAGGAGATTTCATCTGTCTATATCACCTATACACTGATTCCATATCATCTGTACTACTGACTGCCAAATTTACATCTTCAGTCTAGAGCTTTCTTTGAACTCTTATCAAACTGCTCAAAAGGCCCCTTCCAAAAATGTGGAACCATCCTCCTACTTCCCCCAGTAAATGCTACCTACCATTCCAAGTGCTTTAACCTGAAAAGACACTACAACACTCTATTACTACCACTTCAGGCTAAGCCCTACCACCCCTCCTAAATTTCTACAATAATCTGAGGCCTCTGCCAAACCTCCCAAGTATTCTACTCCTAACATCAGGTTCTGCCTCTGCTCAATGGCCCCCAGTTGTTCCCTTCCCCTTTCAGAGTAAAGGCCAAAGTCCTTACAATGGCCAAGAGGCTCTACAGGATCTGGCCTCATATTTCTCTGGGTTTTCTCTCAACTCTCTGAATATTTCAATCATGCCTCAGGCCATTTAATTTGCTGATTCTTTGACTCCAAACTGTTTGAATATCACTTACCCATGAGTCTTTCCTTAGATGTAACCTAGGTAAAATAGTATATTTCCAACATCCCCATTTATTTCCCTTAACCTGCTAGCATGTCTCACCATCTATCACACACTTTTATTTATTATCTTATCTCTTCCAATTTCAGTGCTAGCTCCATGAGTGTAGCAACTTAAGTTTCATAGCCATATTCTCAAATTCTAAAATAGTGCATGTGGTAGACATTTCCTTAAATAGTTGCTGAATGAACAGAGTTCTTTATTGTATTTTTTAACAACCTCTCATTTTGTTTCACTGATTCACTCAGTTGCCTAAGAGATAATCATATTAGAAGAGAGGCAATATTAATACCTAAGCAAATAATACATAAGCTATAGCATGTAAAACTACCAGGAAAGATTATGGAGCCTCTTCAGATGAGTGGTCATCTACTGAAGAAGTGAGACCACAGTATTATAGGCCAGCCACAGGCATACTGGTATAAAGAACACAGTGTTGTTTCTCCAGTCAGAATGGCAGCTATTAAGAAAACAAACAACAATAAGTGTTGGCAAGTAGGGGAAAAGGCACTCATACATTGCTGGTGGGACTGCAAAATGGTGCAGCCAATATGGAAAGCAATATGGAGATTCCTTGGAAAACTGGGAATGGAACCACCTTTGGACCCAGCTATCCCACTCCTTGGTCTTAATAACAAGAACTTAAAAACAGCATACTACAGGGACACAGCCACATCAATGTTTATTGCAGCACAATTCATAATAGCTGAACTGAGGAACCAACCTAGATGCCTGTCAGTAGATGAATGGATAAAGAAAAATGTGGTATTTATACATAATGTAATATTACTCAGCAATAAAAGAGAATAAAATCATGACTTTTGCAGGTAAATAGATGGAGTTGGAGAATATAATGCTAAGTGAAGTCAGCCAATCCCAAAAATCCAAATGCCAAATGTTTTCTCTGATATAAGGAGGCTGATTCATAGTGGGGTTGGGAGGGGAAGCAAGTGAAGATTAGACTAACTCTAGACAGGGCAAAGGGGAAGAAGGGAAGGGAGGGGGCAAGGGATGTAAAAAAGATGGTAGAATGAGATGGACGTCATTACCCTGAGTACATGTACAAAGACACAAATGGTGTGAATATACTTTGTATACAACCAGAGATATGAAAAGTTGTGCTATATGTGTATAATATGAATTGTAATGCATTCTCGTGTCATTCATAACAAATTAGAATAAAATTTATTTTTAAAAAACAGTGTTAGATTCAACCAATGTAGGGTCTTCCAAGGCCAGCAGAAATAATGAGAAAAATTTATGTTTCCACAAAAAGGTATATGAAAAACAGACCATGGGATATAAGCTCTTAAGAAAGGAAGGATACGAGATAGGAAATATAGTAAAAAGATGGCAGATGAACATGTATAATCCCAGAAATCCAAGAAAGTGAGGCAAGAAAATCACAAGTTCAAGGCCAGCCTCTGCTATTTAGTGAGACCCTGTCTCAAAATTTAAAAGGTTTTTTAAAAGAGCTGGAAAGGGCTGGGGCTGTAGCTCAGTAGCAGAGCGCTTGCCTAGCATGTGTGAGGCACTGGTTTGATCCTCAGCACCACATAAAAATAAACAAATAAATAAAGGTATTCTGTCCATCTACAATTACAAGAAAAATTAAAAAAAAAAAAAAAAAAAAAGAGCTGGGGATATGGCAATGGTAGAACACCCTTGGTGGTGGGACACACACACACAGCAGAATCAATATACGTAAATTCTGGTAGAATCAAAGAATTGTTTATGTCAGAATTAAGGGGAAATATGATAGAAAGAAGATGGCATTTTGGAGCATCCAAGAAATAATCTGTATCTTCTGCTAAGTGTATTCTCTTTATTAAAACCTCCAAAATACTGAGATTGAACTAACTATAAAATTTTAATTATCCAGCCTTGAATAAAGCAGTTCCTTCATTAATTTAAATTTACCAAGAGATACTGCTCTTGGACAATCTAACTGTAAACACTTAAATACTTACTATCCTTGGCCTTTAGAAACAAGTTTTAGATATCTTCTTTTAACTCTGTACTCAACATCCTACCTTCCAACATTCTGCTTTGGCCTATCACATCCCACCTATTCCCCTGTCTCTAACCAGAAACCTGTTCCAGAGATGTTCCATCCATACCCACTATTTTTAACTCACAAATCTGTGCTTTTCTGATAGTGCCTATATCAGTTTAATCCTCATTTCTAAATCTTGGTTCCTCATCTCCTGGCTTGCCTTGCTCCAACTTCCTAGACTCCTAAATTCCTGTTCCCTATGGCTGAACTTGACCCTGGACATTAGCTGCTCACACCTATCTGCTGCCAACTTGAGGTCTCAATGTAAGGTTCAAGTTTAGAATATAGATCTTCTGGAGACTTCTTTCTTGACAAGGAGTACCATTTTTTACAAGACCAAAACCTAGCACAAACTGTATTCATGGCAATATACCTTGGTTATTTTCTAACCCCTAGGTTGATTTTTACACATAATAAATCCCTGTGCTCTAAGAAACTGATTACATTCTAATGTAGCTAAACACAATGACTCAATAAAACCTCAATGAGAAATAAGGTAGATTATAGTGACATGAGTAAATCTTCTTTTCTAGATACTTACCTGAAACTGGTTAATAAAAGGTGCTATATTTAACCCAAGGGTGCGTTCTAGTCCTTGAACAGCATTCTCTTCTACCAGTGTTTGTGATTCCACCAGCAGCCCAAACATTAGCACATACTGAGGAAAGATCTTGCCTCCAGACTGTAGTAAACACCTAAAAGATAACACGTGTTTTTTAAAGTTTTTTGATTTCCTACATTTTATGAATATCAAATAACTAAGAATCATGAGTTACTAAGCCACACATTATGTATAGTCTAATGAACTTTGTGTTATTATCAGCTGGTAGTTCAGAATGGTAAAGCACTGGAAATAATTTCCCAACAAGTCAAACTTAAGGTGACCACTGACCTATGAAACAAAAATAACCAGTTGGCTGGATGATGGACACAAGTCCTCAGATGCAGGCAAGGGTCATCCATGGATATGAAAATTACAGGTTAAACATTCCTATCCTAAAATCCAAAATTTGAAACACTCGAAAATCAAAAACTTTTAGAATGCTACTTATAGGTATAAAATTCTACACCTGTGTATAAGGTGTGCATAAAACATAAATGAATTTCATGTGTAGACCTGGGCTCCATCCCTAAGCTATATGAATATTCAAAAATTCAAAAAAAAAAAAATCAAACATTTCTGGTCCTAAGCATTTCAGGTAAGAGGTACTCATAATAATACCCCCACAAATGACCTGTTCATTACAAAGAGGGAAACTGTGGACAAAATGGTGATGCACCTTAAACCAAATGATCTGAGTTAACCTTAACAATCATGGGATAAAGCAGCACTATGTGCTTCCAAGTGTGACAAAACTTCTGTGGTAATCATTCCTCTCTAAAAATGGGTAATCTGGATCTAACCATAGGAAAATATGAAGAACAGTCTATAAAATAAATGGCTTAAATTCTTCAAAACTGTTAATGTCATGAAGACTGAGGAATTTTCAGAAAAAAAGAGACTAAGGAAACAAAAACTATCAGAATAAAGAAGATTAAGGAGACATGAACACTAAACATAAAATGTGACCCTGGATTGAATTCTGAGACCAGGAATTTAAAAAGTTATGAAGAACACTGTGACAAATAGTAAACTGGAGTAAGATTTTTAAGTGAGCTGGGTACAGTGGTACATACCTGTAATCCCAGCAACTTAGAAGGCTGAGGCAATTCAAGGACTCTCTGGGCAATTTACTGAGACCCTCAGCAACTTAGTGAGGCCCTGTCTCAAAATAAAAAAGGCTGGGGATGTAGCTCAGTGGTAAAGTACCACTAAATTCAATCCCCAGTACGAGAAAAAAAAAAAAATGTAGGCTTGATAATAATATAAAGCCCATGTAAATTTTCTGATTTTGTTCACTACATACTGCATAGATGAATAACTTGTTCTTAAGACACATACTCCAAAGAAGTAGGGGTTCCCTGATATTCAGAACTTACTGTAAACGGTTCATGAAGAGAATCATAAAGCAGATGTGACAAAGCATTAATCATACCTGTGAATCCAGACTTGTGAATCTGGGTGTAAAGTAGAGGTTGTGTTCTTTGTCCATGCCACCCACCCACCGCTTTTTTTTTTTTTTTTTTGGATTGAACCTAACTAGGGCACTCACTCTTTGGTTTCAATAATTTGCTAAAATGGTTCACAGAATTGAGAAAAAACATCTTACTTACATATACTGTTTTATTACAAAGAATACAATTCAGAAACAGCCAAACAGAAGGCATACATAGGGCAAAGGTAATACTGTAGTCTAGAATTACATACAATTCACCATCACTTCTCAAACTAATTCCTTGCTTCCTCAAAATAAAAAATTAAAATTTAATATGTTAATGTAAGTAAAATTTCCTAAATTTTGTGAGCTCTTCTAGCAAATTAATCAAACCTGAAGAGGATATTTACAAATTGATAAATTTATAGCCAGTTGGTAGAATAGGTAACAACCTACTGTATGCAACTGGCACCTGAAGTTGGAGGCAGTCCTGCAGAACTGAGTACTCAACCTGGGGGATCTGATGCCATCTCCAGGTAGGTAGAAATAAATTTGAGGACACCCTGCTGGTGTACACTTAAGAACTTCTTGGTATGCGATGAGAAATCCCTGCACATCTGATGTCAGAATTATTATACTGAGTGGTTAGTGAGTAAAAGGAAAATAGGGTGTTTTTTTGTTTGTTTGTTTTTTTAATATGGAGGTATGGGAGAGGAGTATAGAGCTTTGCACACAAGCTATCCTCTAGCACCTCAATGTGTTCACCAACTTGGAAAGTCTGAACCTATCTGTTCTAAAGCAGGAGGGTGGGGGGGTTGGTTGTTTGTAATGGAAATACCATTATACAGGCATAATTAATTCACTGGTCCCTGGTGATACATTATTCAATTCCCAGCCCCACTCCCTTCTCCAGGACTGAAATTTCCAACCTTCTAATCACATGGTTCCTCTGGCAACCAGCTCCCCCCAACCCCCTCCCCGCCTCCCAAAGCTGTTTAGAGGCTCACCTAGAGATATCTCATTAGAATGAACTCAGATATGGTTGGATTAAAAATAAGGCACTCATTTTACCCTATCACCCATAAAATTCTAAGGTTTTAGAAGTTCTTCTATAGGAACTAGAGAACACCAATGTATATTTCTTATTATAACATCACAATATCCTAGGCAGTAACAAGAAATAATAGACTGAAGAAAATGTCAACAATCATTTACCAAATCCTAAAAGTGAGAAAAGTTTGAACCACAAACGAGGAACCATGCCAAAGATACAAAAAGCAGTTCATAAAAATTACTTTAAAAGATGACATTCACATTACTTTAAAACATTCTAAAATTATTTTTTAACCTCAATGTTACTATCATGAACAGGAATGTTAAGTTATGTTCAGATAAAATACCACTGGACTTGAAACTGCTTATCTTTACCAAAATGAGTATTTTGTCACACCTCTACTCCTTAATCCAACCCTTTAATTAAGTAATACTTCAGAACCATCTGTGTCTTCAACGATAAAAAATATGTTCCACTTTAAAAGTCTAACCATAAATGGTGAAAATACTGAAGTTTCAATGTTTCTTTGTACTCCAACCCTCCAAAATTTGAAATGTTAGATAAAAGCTTACCAAGCTTTCTTCTGTATTTTAATCTATATGAGTGAACAAGAGTCTAAGAATGAACATTTTAAACTAACGGCAAATATAGTCTTAAACGCATAAGCTTCTAAGTGACTCATTTCTCCTTGTCCTATTATTGTAGTCCAGTGAGAGAGATGCCGTTTATCATTCAGCCCATATCATTCTAATTTCATCCTTGATGTGTCATGAGTCCCCCTTACCCCAACACATACACAGAGGCTCAAGGCAGTAATAGCAAGGCCTGGGTGAGAGTATCTGCATGCTTCCGGCCCCATGCTCAAAATAATTGTACACATTCAGAAGTACCTATAAAGGAGACTGGGCTGCTACTTAGGCTGAAGCATTACTCAGAAGGTATTTGAGAAAGGGGATTGGGGAGAATCTTGGTTTAAACAAGGATTAAGGCTGCTACCAGCATTTAAGGCCCAGAGATGCCAAAGCTGAAGACACACCCACATGAGAACTGTCTCAACCAAAATGCCATTATTAATAACACCACTCTTCCCTCCTCATTGAGAAACACTGGGAAGGGGAGTTGCAGATAGCCTTCATGTAAGTTGTTCGTTACTAGGATAAAATATCATTCAGACAAAACAGACCCCCTAACAAATTGCTTTATCACCAAAACTGCTTTTTAAAAAATCATTTACAGGTTCCATTAAAATAAAATACCACTGCCTGAAAGCTTTTTCACTAGGACTAGGTAAAAGAAAAGAGTGCACATTTTTGGTAACTGCTACTCAACAAAGTACTGGAGTATTAGCCAAGGATAAAAAATTTTAAAAATAAGAAAAAAAAAAAAAAAGACATTCAAATAGTAAAAGTGTCCCTGATTGTAGGCTTACATGTGGAAAACACTAAAGATTCTACCCCAACCCCCTCACAAAAAACAGAATAAACTAGTTTAGCAAAATCACAGGATAGAAAAAATATACAAATCATTTATGTTTCGATAAACTATCAATGAACAGTCTGAAAACAAAATTTTAAAAAAAAATCTATTCACAATAGCATCTAAATACTTAGGAAAAATACAAAGGAAATAAAAGATTTGTACATTGAAGCCGGGCATGGTGGCACAAAACTGTAATCCCCAAAACTGAGAAGTCTGAGTCAGGAAAATCTAAAGTTCGAGGCCAGCTTTAGCAACTTCTGAGAGGCACTCAGAAGTTTAGTGGGATCCTTTCTCAAAATAAAAAGTTAAAGAGGGCTGGGGAAAGTGGTAAGTGGGTTCAATACCCAGAACCAAAAAAAAAAAGAAAAGAAAAGAAAAGATTTGTTCATTGAAAACCATAGGGCTTTGCTGAAAAAAATTAAAGGCATACAGAAATGTAGACATTTCATGTTCATAGATGCAAATACAATATTGTTAAAATGTCCCCACTACCCAAAGTAATGAGGACATTCAATGCAGGCCCTATCAAAATACCAACAATGTTTTCTGCAGAAACAGAAAAATTCACCCTTAATTCATATGCACTCTTAAATGACCCTGAATAGACAAAGCCATCTTGAAAAAGAATATCAAAGGCCTCACTTTCCCTGATTTCAAAACACATTACAATACAAAGCAACAGTAACCAAAACACAGTGGTACTGGTATAAAGACAGATATACAGACCAATGGAGTAGAAGAGAGAGCCCATAAATTAACCCAAAAATGATGGTGGGGAAACTGGAAACACAAAAAAATAAAGATGGAACTTTACCTGACAACTGTATATAAAAATTAACTTGTGCTAGAGTCCTAGCTCAGTGATGAATAGCCTGCATAACATGTAAGACCCTGGGTTTGAACCTCAGCACCACATTAAAGAATAAGTAAATAAATAAAAGTATTGTGTCCATCTACAACTAAACAAAATTTTTTTTAAATTAGCTCACAGTGGATTAAACACCTAAATAGAAGACCTAAAACTATAAAATTCCTAAAACCAAATTTTGGGGAAAAGCTTGAGGACACTGAATCTTGGAAGGCTGAGGCAGGAGGATCACAAGTTCAAGGTCAGCCTAAGCAATTC